AATAGGGTCCAGAATTCAAATAATTCAAAGAATTGAAATCGGTTAAGGAAACAGCTTAGAGGAGAAGACGCCCTATTTGAATAATTCAAAGAATTCAAATAATTCAAAGCTCGTGAGCATGTATTTATCAATAGCCAGGCATCTGGCTGTAGGGACGACGAGGAGGCATGACTGCATGGCTAACGGGAGCTCATTAGCATGTATTATCGACCGCCAGGCGTCTGGCTATAAGGGCGACGAAGAGGCATGACTGTGTGGCCAACAGAAGCTCGCTAGCTTGTTCACTAGCCAGGCATCTGGCTATGGGGGCGACGAGGAGGCATGACTGCATGACCTCAGATAATCATAAATCTACTTATAAGGACCCACGGATCTGAAGAACAAATACAAGGCAGAGGAGACCCACGGCTATGAGGAAGAGGCCGATTATCTATTCAGAAGCTCTTGACATACGTTAGTAGCCTAGACTGCTCTATGACCGAATACTGGGCCGAGGCTGGAAACCTTGGCGACGAGACAGGGGAGGTCCTGGTTGATGGTTGAGAGAACACGAAAATCAAAAAAAAAAAAAAAAAGAGATCTGGTCAGGATGGAGAGGAGGAGCAGGTCCTCAGCCAGGACACTGAGGCTTGGTCAGCTCATCAACGTCCGCGCGTGAGGGGATGAGATCGTCTATGCCAGGTGGAAGGCATCCACTCCGCTGTGTGGCTCTCAGACTTATACACCTTTGAGAGTCGTGCTAGACGAAGCATGCTCAGGCAGCGCCCAACCGGATTCCCGTTAACTTGGACTTCCTGGCGCACTCCCGCTACCGTTCGCTGCTGCTCACGAGTCCCTGGAGGACTGTGTAGTAAAGAGCGCGCCGCGAGATTACAAGAGTGTTATAAAGAATGAGTGCAACCAATCTATATGACTTGCTGCAGGAGGGATCGGCGCTGGCGCATGTGGCATCAGCGAGGCCTTTGACAACGCCGTACAAGCCCTAAACTCTCGACCTTAGTGTCTAAACCCAACCTGAAACCCTGAAGCTAAACCCTGAACCCTCGACCTAAACCCTTTTTCCATATTCTCATATAGATCTCGCGATTGAAGGTGCAGCTCGGGGCATCGAGAAGTGAGCCGAAAACTCAGTGCAGTGACAGTGTAGTCAACATTTACACTTCTACGGAATTGTACTCCTAAATCCTAAACCTTAAGCTGCTTTGGTCCAGCGGAGTGCTCATGACATCGAAAGGTCCATAAGGTTGGCAAACCGTAAATTTTGAACGATCAAATCCTAGAGCCTATGACCGCTTCAACAAACCTTAAACCCTAAACCCTAACACATTCAACCTTAAGCCGCAACCCCAGACCCTGAACCAGAAACTCTTAACCCTGAAGCCTAAACCCTGAACCCTATACCCGAAAACCTGGTAGAATGAGCTATAAAACAAAAAGAAACTAGGTCCAGTAATTTCTGGTTTCAAAATAATACGTTCTGAGTCTATAAAAATTATTCGTAATTCACTTCACAAGAGCTAATAAGAAACAATAGACGCACAGCCCCTACAGGTGCCGGCCTCATATATACTAAAAAAACCACACACACACACACACACACCCCCTTTTTTGATATAGATGTAGGCAAGGCAGATGCACCTCTGTCGGCCGACAGCTCGAATGCAAGGACAAACAACAGCAAGGGACGACGATAAGCTTTTATTGGATATGTGAGTTTCTCATTCCTACAAGGAGGGGCCCCCTAGTGTTATAAGGACCCTAGCTCAGGTTACAAGTCCCTAAACTATGGTCATTATAGTAAGGGGGCCCCTCCTTGTAGTGCCTGGATGGGCGTTTCGGGTCTAGGGCTACTGCGACCCAGAGTAGGCCCTTCAGGTTCCCTCCCTTTAAACCAAAAACCGGGCACGCTTCTTATTCCAGGTTACTGTTATTCGAGAGAAGTTGTATCTTATTTCATGCATCAAACTCGTTCACCACCTTCGGTGTGGGGTTGTTAGATTTTAAACTCAACTCTTCTCCGCGCCCGGTGCTGGAGTGCCGAACCCGAGAGACTCCCTGGAGTGCCCAACCCCGGAGACCCTGGAGTGCCCAGCCCCAGAGCCTGCAGTGTCCAATTAGTCCAATTCCAGAGACTCCCTGAAAAGCCCAACCCCAGGGACTCCCTGGAGTGCCCAACCCCAGAGACTCCCTAGGGCCCTAAAGCCCGACCGCAGAGACTCCCTGGAGTGCCCAACACCAGACACTCCTGGAGTTTGCAGCCCGAGAGATTCCCTGGAGTGCCCAACCCCAGAGACTCCCTGGAGTGCCCAAATCCAAATCCCTAAGGTGGGGATGTTCGAAGTGAAATAGTTTCTATTTGTGTTTTTTTTTACAAATGTATATAAGTTGGGGCTTCTGAGCTTTTTGCCTGGTGCTTACACCCACTTAAAGCCGACTCCCAGATCGCCCCAGCGTTTGTGGGTTTCTGCAAGTGTTTCGGGTTTAGGGTTCAGGGTTTAGTGCTTAGTGTTTAGGCTTAGGGTTTAGGGGATACCTACCTGGGCTTCCCTGAGGTTCCCTAGGTACCTACTCCCCATGATACCCCCCTTAAGAACTCTATAAAGGGTGACGCGCGCTGCCCATGTTCACATGCAGGCTTGTACAGGGAGCATATGAGCTCCATTGTATGCAGGTGCTCATGGATCACAGATGCAAGTGCAATGACAATCCTGAACCCTAAGCTCTAACTCTAAACCCTGAGTTATCTCGGACACTAAGCCCTAAACCCTAAATCCTAAGCCCTACCCTAAACCCTGAACCCTAAGCCCTAAACCCCGAGCCTGGGTTCAAGAGGATCATCTTCAAATATAGATATAGGTATAGATATATATATATATATATGTATATTCAGAGGGTTTTAGGGGCCGTCCTAGATAAACAATCCTACACCCTAAGCCCTAAACTTACGTCGTTCGAAGCCGAACTTTTCGGTTTAGGAACATCCTCAAGTCCCCAACTAGCGCCCCGACCGAATCTTCAGCGCTTTGTTGGGGTTTGGGATGTAGGGTTTGGATTGAAAGCTCAGAGCACCTGCGTGCACTGAATGCGTTTAATTTTCGACCGCTTGACTCGTTCGTTTTCTGCCGGTCCTGAGACAGACCTCAGAAGCAACGGGCTTGGAACCCGGGAAGCAGTCCGGCACTATGCTGGTGAGGCCACGAACGCCCAGCCTGGACCTACAATACAGCTCTGACCCGAAACCCTAAGCCCTAAACCCTAAACCGTTTTCTGTTCTGGGGTTCGATTTGGGAATAGTTCTCAGAGGTTAACATGGCCAACCTACTCTAAGGCTCTTCGATATATCTTGCATAGGAGGCCACAGTTGCCCTCATCTTCTAGGGTGGAGAGCCTGAACTCCTAAACCCTATACCCTGTAAACCTTATAAACCCTATACACCCTGTAACCCCTATAAACCCTGTACACCCTGTCAACCCTGTACATCCTGAAAGCCCTATAAACCCAACAAGCCCTAAGCCCCTAAACCACAACACCTAAACCCTAAACCCTAAACCCTAAACCCTAAAACCCTAAACCCTAAACCCTAAACCCCAGAAAAGCCCCTAAGCCCCTAAGCACCTGAAGCCTAACCGGTGCCACCCTCAGCCCTGCCGCATCCGCCTTTGTCGGACTGAGAGATCTCAGCTGGCTAAAGACGTGTGCAAGAATCAGCAAAGCAAGCAGAAGGGTTTAGGGTTTAGGGTTTGGGGTTTAGGGTTTAGGGTTTAGGGTTTAGGGTTTAGGGTTTAGGGTTTAGGGTTTGGGTGTCAGAACGGTAAGGTTGAATTTGCAATTAGGGCTTAGATTTCGCCTCCCTGTGGTCTGGTAGTAGCGTTTGGGTTCAGGGTTTGGGTTTTAGGGTGTCAGAATTTTTGGATCTTAAAATTTTGGGGTCCCCCCCTTTGCTGTGGTGTGGTGGTGGTGGGATTTCGGGTTCAGGGTTTCATGGTTTAGGGTCGTTTAGGGTCCCCCCCCCCCCCCTTGGGGGTGTGGTTGAGGGCTTAGGATTTTAGGGTTCAAGGTTTGGGGTGTAAAAAGGGTTTCAGGCATAGAGTTTTAGGGCTTTAGGGGTTTTGGGGGGTTTACATGGTAGGAGAGTTAGGAGAGGCTCATCTTGGCAACTGCCAGTCAACTGCCCATGAACCTTCAACTACCCCCAGGGTACGGCTCAAATTTGGCAGGCTGCGATTTTAACCCTGTCAGAGACCCCCTCCCGCCCACTTTGGGCAACATTAGAGCCTTAGACCCCCTGAACCGTAAACCCACCACAGTTGAGTTGGCCTCTTGTCCAATACCTCCAGGTGCAGTATCTACAACCATTCGGGTCCTAGACCCCTCAAGGACGCGACTATTAGGCCCCTGGAAGTACAGGGTTAAGCGACAGCGAAGTTGCTTCTTGGACCGCTGACGCCATGGCTGTTCCGGGTGCGCAGCGGGGGGAGCCCCACAAACGGAACGCAAAACCCAAAAACCCAACCCCCCCCCCCCCCCCCCCCCCCCCCCCCCCCCCCCCCCCCCCCCCCCCCCCCAGCCCCCACCCCCCCACCCCAAGGCCCCCCGCCCCAACCTGCAAGACGTGGCGACAAGCGGGGTTTATAAGGGCCAGGATCCAGGGGCTAGGGTGTACATAGGTGTGAGGGCTTAGGGTTCAGGCTGAAGATCTTAGGGCGGTTTAGGCTTTGCAAACTTAGTGGTTAAGGCTCAGGGTTTGTGGAGTCCCGGCTGGGGGGTCAATGAGTCAAGCTTTGCGCCTTTGCGATGTTTGGTAAGTGTTTTTGTGTGTAGAGAGTTGTCCCCCCCCCCCTTGTGGGGTGCTCTCAAGTAGAAAGGACGTGTCTGACCCTGGCTTGGGGCATCGCCAAGTTGCTTAAATGCTCCGTGCTCTGCAGGCCCCTTATGTCCAAACTTGCCGAACGACGTTTGCCAATCGGGAAAGCGCGCAAGTAGCGGGGCTCCATGTGCCATGCTGCAGTCAGTTTGTAGTTTCATTCTCCTGTGGTCTGCTGGCGCCAGATGCTGGTGTGGAGATGGTTCCTGCACCGCTGTTTGCACAGGCAAGGTGCACAACTATGACATGCCGGATGGCTTCTGCAGCTATACGCAGCTACATCCGAGGCTGACGGACCAAGACAAGTGCTGCGCTTGTCCAGATTGGGGCTGTGCACAGACATGGATGAGTGGGGATACCGGAAATTGTGATGGAGGTCTGGAGGGCACCTGTGACGTGAGTTTGTGTGGTCAGACTGAGCCTCAAGTGCAGAGCAGAAAGCCCTTACCCTTGTTGGGGGAAGCCCAATAAACCCCAAAAACCCTCAAAACCCTCAACCCCTACCCAGACCCCCGGGAGCATCCAAGAAGTCAAACCCCCAACATAGTACCCTGTTACTACTAGTGGGGTCATTCTTAGGAACCCTTAAGGGGATCTACTTTTTTGGATCCTCCCAGAAAATCTTGGGTAAACAAATCTCAGCCCGTAAGGCGCAGGTGTGCGAGTGCTGGGCGCGACTTCTTGACGGCTTCAGCTGCAGCCAAAAGTCGGCGCAGGTGGAGGAGGGCCTAAGTGTCTTGGTTTTGCCCAGTGGTACCCATTGGTTTAGGGTTTAGGGTTTAGGGTTTAGGGTTTAGGGTTTAGGGTTTAGGGTTTAGGGTTTAGGGTTTAGGGTTTCGGTGCCCTTTAAAAGTAAGCAACCCCCCCAAAAAAGGGGGGTACCCCTGATTCGAAGAAAGAATTTCTGGGGCCACTAAGGCTTGCAGCAGTGTGCGGATCGCTGCTACGCCTGCAAAGGGGTTGAATACCGTCCACTAACGGGCCACTGCCAGCTTCTTGCCAGCCCAGTGGCACCCTTTTCCCCTTTTTTGTTGTTCAAGGCTCCCATTGTAAAGTAACCAACACCCCCCCCCCCCCCCCCCCCCCCCCCCCCCCAAAAAAAAAAAAAAAAAAGTGCCCTTAGTTTACTCTGAGTCCTGGGCAACCTTGAACCTGAACCCCTTAACCCTGTTTGCTCAAGGCTCTCTTGTAAAGGAACCTTAAAATGAGGGTGCCCTTATTGTAGCATGGTCCCAGACCCCTGGGAGGATCCAAAAAGGTAGATTCCTTTAAGGGTTCCTAAGAATGACCCTCTAGTAGTATAGGGTGCTATTTGGGGGTTCGACTTTTTGGATCCTCCCGGGACCCCCGGGGTCCTCAACCCTGAGCCCAAACCCTAAACCCTAAACCCTAAACCCTAGACCCTTGGGCTACCCAGGCTATGCTTCGAAGTCACACCGGGCGCTGCAGCGAGTGGTGCAGAAGTATGGGCTCCATTACAGGGAAGGCGCGTGGATTCCCTGAATCAAACCACCACTCCTCAGCCACAAGAATGCGGTTCCTACCGAAATAACGATGGAATCTCTTGCTTCTATGTTGAACGTTTCTCGCCCAACGCGATGAGCGGTGTTTCTTTCACGCGCCCCGGCGCAACGAAGTCGGCTCAGCCTCCTTGCGGCCATTTTGTTGCCAATTGGTTGCATCGGATGAGAACTCAGGCCGGACCATCAATTTGCCCTATTGTGAAGTTTCACTCGTCTCACTCCCCGTCTTTCTGCAGCCCGTGGACGCCGACTAGATGCCGGGCGCCACCATTGCGACAAAATAGCACAGGCGCACGAGCTGTGCTCCTCGCGAGGACCCCGCGCGGCCATCGAGAAACTAAGCAGCACGTGCAGTGCATGTGGTGCATGTGGTGCATGTTGCGAATGACAACGAGAGGTGAAATGGCGCCGCGCAGTCCCGTGAGCTATTCAGAAATCCCAGCAATCTTTTTAGCATCATGAGTTGCTTCACAGGGAGTGTGGGTCCCCTGTAAAGCGCCCCTTACCCCCCCCCCCCCCCCCCCCCCAAACCCTAAGCCCATCACTTGAAGCATTGAGGCCCTTTGCTCACCTGACATGCAAGCCTGGGATGTGCTTTCAGACTTCATTAACGCTGAAACAATGCCTTTCTGAGGGTTTAGGGTTTAGGGTTTCGGGTTTAGGGTTTAGGGTTTAGGGTTGTTCATGAGGATAGGGTTGTTCATGAGGATTAGAGCCTACGAGCCCATCCGGGTTCCCCCCTCCATCGTCGTTGCTCTGGCAGGCTATGGAGCGGGTCAGCAGCAGGCCAACAGAATAGGGTACTGGGCTGAGTGACGTTCATTTTTTATGGTTTCAACATGAAGGTATAGTCACTTTTACTTCCAATTCCCTTTTTGTGGGCGCCGATTCTTTATTCTTCTTCAGATAGGTCAAGCTCATCATGAAAGAAGAAGCCCAAGACCCTAAACCAAAAGCAAGGAATACCAAGCAGCTCCGCTGATGCAACCTAGTCGTTGGCAAAATCCAGCCAGTTGGCCTGAACCTAAACCCTCAACTCCAAAACCCTAGACCTTTAACCCTGAACTCGAAAGCCCCGCATACCCTAAAGCTCTCCGCGTTCCGCGCTATGT